TTTGCCTCCGTAGACAAAACCGCAATGGACAGTTGGTGCTTCGCGTACTTTTTTATTAGAAAATACGCTCGGCTTACTGGCTTCTTCAGATTCCACGGCTTTCCGTTGGTCTTGGAGGGCGCCTGCTGCATTTGTAGTACACCCATTCGTAACGCAATTAGTGTTGGTGCTTCGATTATTGGATGAACGGACAAATATCATAAAGTTATCCTTCATGTATTCATTTAAGACCATTCACTTAAGCCACTTCCGAAGCCATGGCAGACGAAGTTCAAAGCCGAATGTGCGCCAATAATTTTCAGAAGAGATCGATTAAAACAAATCGCAAAAAAATGACGGCAGATGAGGGGGGTTTTCAGTCTACGCATATATGCAAAGAAGTGCACCATTTTGACGTTAAAGTTTGCATTTCGCCCGCAGGGAGTTTGCCGAAAAATGCATTGTGCGTTTAGCCGCTGGCGTTGTTATTGTATGCCACTTTCTGATTCTTAAATTTGATCGTTTACAAATAGAGCGCCAATGTGGTATCTTCAAAGCCGCAGTAACAGCTTGTCTGCCAAGGATTACGCTTACAATTGTGTGGCGCCATCCGGAGTGCTATATGAGTCACCGCCAGTTGGAGACAATGGTAAGGCTTTCGCTACTTGGCCATCACTGCCCTCATGACAATGCTCACAGGTGTGGAGAACACCGATTTAGTAATGCTGAGGTACGTCGAATCGTATTGGAATGAATTAACTCAACAACAATAGAGGAACTAATTATGTTTCGTAAATTGCGCTGTATTAGTCAATTGCTCTGTATGCTAGCCTAACACATTCTCTGAACATCCCTTTTCTCACAACCACGCGGAAGGTGAAAACATGTTTAAAGTCGGTGAATAAATCCTGATGATTTTTTCTGAAATGGTGGTAATATCGGGCACGATCGTAATTTTGCAGTCATAAATGTGTGACTGGTATCAGTTTTTGACGCCTAACAAATTGAAGAAGTGGGTAAGTAATCTAAATATTAAACATTGTCCAAAGCAAATGGGGTCATGTCAAAATTCGTTGGATCTATAATCACTGGGCATTTCGGACGGTGAAACATAGTATATGGTCAGTATGAAGAGAACAAGGAACCGGAGGAAAACTGCACAGTGAAATGATAGATACAGCGTCACTAGGGCATTTTTTCATTAAAATTTTCGATATTTCAACTGAATCTGGCGATCATTGGGCGACGTGGATGGCCTTGAGCGGTGGGGTTCCTAGCTCGAGCCGCAGAAAACAAAAGGGAGGTGACGCATCGCACGTAGGCCGATTGAGGGAGAAAGAGGGTTTCTACCACTGGATTGTAGTTCAATCTAAAATCGGATAGACTCACTGGTTCCGAAAAGATTAGATAGTGGTTGATAGGGTCTATCAGGACAGGAAATGTGTTGGCGTTGCATGGAGAATAGCACTATTACCACAACCTTTTGGTTTTTGTGACCTGTGAGAATTTCGCGGAAGGCTCTGTAAAATGTCAATGATGCTATTACCACAACTTTGGAAACAGTTTACCGTTAGTTCGTCACATACAAATTAACCATGCGCGATAAATACTTCATTTTCGACTGTATACTTATACATGGTCGGTGAATGGCGCTTCAGGTATCACTGATGTGTGTCAAAAACACTCCCGTCACATGTATGTAGAGACCATGTAAGTCGCCGTGGATTATATTCAGAAAAGTGTTACACCTTACGCAAAGTCGGAGGGCGATTGGAACAAACGCGTACAAACGCTGTTGCAGTGCATACAAACCAAATGAAGGTTCTATTTATCATTAAAATCCTACGGAGCCTTCCATGAACTCCTCATGGGTCACAAAAACGGAGAATCGAAAAGTTGTGGTAATAGTGGTATTCACCACAACCTCGTAAACAATCTCTTGTTGGTTCGTCCCATACAGTATATATATGCAATTTATATACCTCGTTTGCGACTGTATAGTTACACATAGTCGCTGGATTGCATTTTAGGTATCACTGATTTGTGTCAACAACCCTCGCATCATATGCAATTATAAACTGTGTAAGCAGCCGGCGTTTGTTTTTTGAAAAACGTTACACCTTAGGCAAAAACGGATTGCAACTGCAGAAAACACTGAAAAGCGCTGTTGCGGTGCACATAAACCAAAGTAGGGCTGTGTCATTTAAATCCTACGAAACCTTACATGAACTCATAGGTCACAAATGAAAAATCGAAAAGTTGTGGTACTAGTGATATTCCGAAACGGTTCTGTAACGCTCACGCAGGGAACAGAAGAGAACCGGAGAGAAAACAATGCCAATTAGGTTCTGTGGTAACCAGTGGCATACATAGTGAAAAAACTATAGGATAACCGTTCATCTGTGACACCCTTTCGGTGCCTAACTGACATGTCACCCGAAGGGAGCAGTGGGACTTGGATAGTGCCACGTCGCCTAAGCCTAGACAGGGGAAGTCGAGAGCGTAGTAACGGTATTTTCCTCAGCTTAGTTCTCGGTCTGGGCCTCCCAAGCTAGCGTTCACGTCAAAAACAACCACCAAAGTTGCACAAGGTCTATTAACGCCCAAAACGAAATCAGGAACAGTTGTACAGCGCTTCGTATATATAGCGTAAGCGCGTTCTGGAGCGCCATTGGCAACCGGCATTTAGCCAATACTGGGTCATGATTGGCTGTTATGTCCAGATTGTTGACCAATCAGATCTCGCTTTGATACCGGACCTGCAAGCGCCCCGAATTCTGGGCCAACCTCAAGCGGGCCAGGCTTATCGACCGTAGCAGCGATCCTAAAGACGTGCGGTATAATGGGATCCGTGTGGATTCCTGCCTAACAATTAGACAGTTTCGTTGAACCTGTGCTTTGATCTACCCGAGTGTAATCAATTGCGATTTGTTTATGAGGCGGTATACATGATGGTGTGCCAACTAATTCTGAAGTTTCGGTTAGTCAAGTGGAGCTGGCGGTTTAAAGCTTGCGGGGACGAGAGATCGAAGAGGAATATGAGGACATCGTCGAAAGCATAACATCAGTGTTCAACACTGATGCTTCGCTGCCGTACAACCATTATTTGTCTCAAGGACATATTGTGAAGAAAATAACAGAATAGAAAAATATCAGCACTCACCACTTGCCTAACACCACCTGTAGCTAATTATGTTGTGGTCAATCTGTATTAGAGGTTGGCTCGCTCATGCACCATATGGCCACGCTGTTTCGTCTGTCCCGGATGTTGGCAATCCACAGAAATGGACTGTAGTCAGCACCTGACTGTAGCAGGTGTTCTCCGTTTTCCAGTCCAAGACGACCCAACTGAGCGTTAGCTGCACATGTCACGCAGCTGCGGCCGACCGAGTACCCGGTCCCTAACCTATCTGCATCGTACGGCATATAATTATTCCTAAAACCAAGTCGGCTGACCGACTGAGTCAGAAAACATATGGAACCCTTCCAACTTGACCCGCGGAGGCAGTGTTGCTTGGTAGGTCAAACGAGGGAGCTGTCAGAAACGCAAGATTGTTGAAGATAACCCAGGTATGTCCGAAACTTATCCAGAATCGCCAACTCTACAAAAATCGTCTCTGGAAGGTCACCGGACCAGAAAATCCATCTGCCGATCGAAAGTTCGAACAGCTTATCAGCGATGAGTGACTGTGCTCGAGTGCTCAGGAGTCCTGTAGAGGTAATGTCAACCGATCACTGAAATTCGACTAGACAGCCTTTATTCAGCGTCAAAAACGCGCTTTTGAATTTCGCCGTTGGTTGTTCATAATCGGGCTGTTGTGTTTGGGTTGGGTGAACCCTTGTCACTAGGCTTCTGGAACCGGGATCTGTAGTCAGTATCTACATATACATGTATATTTATACATACTTAAGCAGTTTTGCCGCAAGCATGCCAACTCCGGCTGCATCGCCATTTCGCGCTTGCATTTTTTCTGACTTATCTCGTGGTTAGTCAAAGAAAGATCTGTGGTCATTTTCATCCCTCTTTTGAACGGTCTATCCACTACAGTCCACTCGACGCTCGTCGGTCAGTTTGGCAGCTTGTTGAACTTCCTGCACCATGTTTCCCGGATTTCTGCATGTGGCATCTGACGATTCTCACCAGTCGCTTTCAAAATCACCGTTGTGACACTCTCCCCTGGGTGTAGAAAGCCGTTAAGACATGCAGTGAGGGAGAAAATATGGCAGATGTTGCCTGTTCAGTGGAACTGACCAGTGTCGCCGACAGTACCAGATCTTTCAGAATCTGGAGGAACACAAATACGTCGCATCGGTGCCATATATCGGGACTACTTTATTTTCAGCGAATTCAACCACCCAAGTTCGACTAAATGTTGGTGCCACCAGGCAGCACACTGCATGAAAAAGCTGTTTCGGGTCTTTCACTGCTCACCGACTTTTCCCTCTCCAGCTTCGTCCATGGAGTATCAGTACATTGCAAGGTTCTTAAAACTCAGTGACCTCTTATTTCCAAGCACTGGTTGTTTTGTTGATTGACCTCACCTACCTAACCGGAAGCCTATTGTCTTGCTTATTCAGCGTACAAACACGTGGTTTTGACCCCAGAGATTAACATACTCTAGCTTCTGTCCGTCATACGTTCCCTCACTTTTAACCAAATGGATCCACAATTCGGTACTGTCACTGCCGGTGTCCCTACATCCGGTCAACTGTATGAGCGTTACACGCATAGTCGTCCTCCGACTTGGCATTTTTTTCTATTTCCCTTTAGATTACTCTGTCGAACCCCTGTCAAGCAGCGAATCGTCAATCCAATGTCAGTGAGTCACAAGGATCTGCAGGTCCTCTCAAAGTGAGTTTCGACCATCTTACTCCTTCGTCTGTGTTCTGTTTATCAAAGCAGCCATTTTTCATGAGTTTTACCATTTCGAAGGTTACCTTTCCTATTGACCGAAATTTTTTATTACTAAGTTTATGGAATGCGTGTGTAAAGGCAACCCAGAAAAACGCCTCTCAACAGTTTACTGCACAGTCTGGCAAAACAAAGGACGCAATTTGCCAAACAAGACTTGTTCATAGTATTGATTCATTGTTTCGGTATGTTTTTCCCACGTGCACTGATAATTTTCCACATGTTTCATTATCTCCGATCACCGCTCTACTGGGTGCCTTACAAGGCTCTATTTTCAGTGTAAATATCGGTTTGTCTCACTTTCCTCAGTCATCATCTAATGAGTACTCATAACGGAAAGACCAGACACCTACACCGACTATTTATGGAAGAGTTGTCACTGCATGGAAAGAGGATATTTGACTTTTGAGAGCAGGTGGACTTTCCTTGGGTAAGGGGGGCATCGCGCGCTAAGTCATGGTTGACAGAAAATGGCGCTACGCACTCCATGAGAGTAGTGTCTCTTCGAAGGAATTACTACACGTAGCTGTTATAATTTAGCACCTCTACTTGAGTGAGCTCGAGATGGCTTAGTGGTTAAGGCATGAATTCACTGAATAGAAGGTCTGTACTTCGATCCTAACCTTGCCGCACGACTGCTCCCGTCAAGGCTTGGGCAACCTGGCAATATCTAAGATCTCTTGCTTCCTTCTGGTGGCATGGCAGCTAGGCACCGAAATGGTGCTACGACTGGACCTTATCTACTAGATTACTGCCATGTTGGTTTCAATCAATCGGCCTGAGCATCGTGTTCCGTGTAAGTTGCCGTACTATATTCCAATAGATAGTATAGATGGAGGAGAATGATAGGTGCAGATCAATTCTCGGATACACAGGCTGTTGGCATCACAGTGTTGCTGACCACCTCCGGTCATTGATATGATTAATTCTTAATTCCCTAATTTCACTGCCGACATGAACTAGTGCAGCTAAGGCACAGTTGTTTTTTAAGCCTTGTCTCGAGGTCATGCGTTGGCCACCTTGTGGAATAATCCTGTCTCATAAAAATAAGTGAATCTTCACGATTGTACGAAGTAATTGGTGTTGTCCATTCTTGAGCATCTACACCAAATCGACCTTCGTACTTGTCGTTTTTTCTCACTTTGTAAGCTGGATTAGTTGATCCGTGCACTTCGCCATCTACGTAAGTCCGGAAAGTTTCTCTTAAAAGGTGCTTTTAAGTTTCATGGCTGAAATTTTTTGGGGTGCATGCAGAGATGACGAATAGGTCTCGGAATTAGGATCGTTTGTCGTGGATTCTGACAGATTCAGTCAGTCCGGCTGCACATGGTCGGCCTTCACTTGAGTCCAGTCAAACAGTGCGTCTTCAACTCAATGCACGACTCACAACATCGAGATCAGGGGTATCACCTCAAGACCACCGGCCGCTCGGAAAATAAAACGCAAGGAGGCCTATCCGCCCCGGACTTGGTTGGGGTACCTTATTATAATGAGGTCGTGTTTATGTTTCGAAGACATAGTGCACGTGTTTTTCAAGAAGTGAGAGCATGAGCAACCGAAACCCGTCGACTTATTTAACGAATATTATAGATCCCAAACCTTGGACATATTGTTTTGTAGCTTCTATTACGTAAGTAGAGGGTTAGAAAAGGAAACGGAATTCATAGGGCTATAAACACAGGGCAGTATAGGCAATGGTAGAAATTAGAATCGAAACTGATGAATGCAAGCGATTAGCCACTGTCCATACGCTGCACGGGAAGGTTTTACTTTCCGGTTACCTGACTGAACAGGAAGGTTCAATTGGAATATCCCTTCTTGGGCTCTTGACTCGGAAAGCTTACCAATAGGGTAGTGGAAAGAGGTAGGGTGTTATCCTGTTGCCATGTGTTTGAATCCTTAGTCTGACCCCATTGTCCCTGGAAGCTTACCTATTCGAGGACGTAGCGAAACAGACACAACTCCTGCTTGCAGTAGGCGTTTTTTGAGTAGCACCAGGCTGCCGGTTTTTCAAATTTTGTTGGCTTTATTGAATAAAGTACCGGCGATCACGGTCATCTGTTGATAGATTAGAGTATAGTTTCTAGGGTTTTCCTTCATCTAACCTGCCCTTTTCAGGGGAAACCAACATCCCTGCTTTCCTAACTGCACAAATGCTGGTCGCCTTCCTGGCTCCATATTACCACCGCCGTGGACAGGACTGCGGCCTCGTACTGCAATTATTCGTTGTACTGGGTTTTCGCGCTCTTTCTCCGGCCACCCCTTTTGGTCTTCCTGGCACGGTTGAACCTTTAAGAAGGAAATCCCAGTTAATTTGACCCGCAGGGTCATTGCAACAGTAGGGCCTGACCTTTAGTTCGAGATAGCAGTTCTCGGCTGATACTACCTTAGCTTATGTAATCATATGTCGCACTCAATTACCTTGTTCCCTTAGCACACAACGTCTCTGCATTCCTATCACAGAGGGCACTGTAAGGGAGGTATCTTGTAGGAGACACAGGGGATCACATAGTGCCTTGGTACTCAAGTTGAAGCACTAACAATCTGCATGTATTGGTTGGTTTCTAACTTTGAATCTTCAGCCGACAAGCTTTCCCATGTTTCTATTTTGTCTTTCCTCTGTTGTCGCTTTGTTGGATAGAATCAGTCAAGGTGTCTGTTAGTTAGTTTGTATGGGCATCAGTTATATTACGTAAGTCCGTTTTGTGAAAACCGGAGTATATCGCCTTTGCTACTTGGGTATCTTTACAAACGGTTTTTACTATCTAAGCATAGTTGTTTCGGGGCATAAATTTTCAGTTGCTCACTCAACAATTTCCACTGTAGTTTGCTTCTGCCCGAACGAGTTGGACAACAAAATCTCGAGAACATCTCTACGCTAGTCCAAAACCACTTTGGCAAGACGGATCACTTCAAGATATGCCGTGTTTTGGTGAGCATTCATCCAACCAGTTGTCTCAACGAATTACGTGGATTAGATGTTTTTATTGCACCATGACTTCCTCTACGATGCACAATCCCGTTTCACCGCTCTTTATATCATTTGGGACATGTATAAATCAGACCCACGCTACTTGAATCCATTTTTGGGATTTCTCGTCTCTTACTTGGTACGTGTTCCAAATTCTGTTGATCAAAACTTTCCTGTCACAATAGCAAGATGATACTATGTCCAAACTTCCTTGGTCTGCTGTCTTGGTGCTTCATACCATACTTTCCCAACCTGACCAGATAAACGAAGTAAGTTTTCATCCCTTATCTGAGTACTTTTCAGTTTTTGAAATATACACCAATGGAAATTTTGAACCTCCGAGTGAATAATACTAGCCGTAAGGTAGGCTTGTTTTATATCTATCAGCATTCTTCCAGCCTGATTGGAGTGCACTGCAAACCGAACTGCAAGCGTTAATTGAGAAGTTACCCAAGGTGGCCAGCTGTGGAATCCCTTGTGTTGTTCCCGATAAAGACGTCCCATCGTAAGCTTTCATCCGCTAAAGCACTGGTCGGTCTCTATATCTTTTTTTCTTATTTTTTGTGATTCGGGTCTCATTTCTGATGACGCTGTTCATTAGTGTGAGTTGAATAAATATCCGTGCTGTGATATTTTTTATTTCCGACATCTCTATAACATATTATCGTCTTTTGACTGCGCTGAACATACTTTCCCGATCACAGCTGTGTTTGACTTGGCACGAAAGACATCGAGGTGGGCAGCACAGAACGCCGTGCTGCGTTTTTCGACTGATTGTTAATCACTCTGAACTTTCTGAAGTATTATCGATTACTTGTTGCAGTCATCGTCCCCAAATTTTCTCTGATTCATTGGATTGTTACGCAACTGTAGACGGCTTAGTGGTCTCCTGAAACGAAAACAGCCATCTAGAACTGTGGTGACTGTGGTCCTGGCTTCTTTCATGTTGTCAGCTGTCAATACTACAATGCGGAAACAAACTGAGGGTGTGGAGCGCGAATTTAACTCCACTCGATCTTTTTGTTGAAATCTGTTAGTGCATTGTCCACGGTTTCTTAAGTCTGGCTGTTGTCGAAACTTCAGCTGTCGAATGGTGTAACGTGTCCGTTTTTTTCGGCGTTTGTGTTGTGCATCTACAGATAATCTTTTGAGTTTAACGTAACATATTGTGGCGGAAAGCCATTACCTACTAGCCTACAAGTGATGATGGAGAGCCCATGTGCTGTTGATTCGGGTCACCTTCATTCTAACTGCTTTTACTCCCATGTAGAGGCATTACGAAATGTGACCGCGGTCCAGCCTCATTGGTATTCTTGTTGCTAGTTTGTGTCCGGATTTTCGACTAGTCAAATGTCCGGACACATCGGATTACTTGTTGTCAGCTTGCCCTGTGTACGGCAGAGGAGTAACGGAGTCAACGCAAGTGTTGACCGATAGTGAAGTTACCACGCCTCATTTTTTTTAGATCTTTCTACTCGGAAGAATCTACCCCAATCCAATTACGCCGCCATTGCTTGGATTCCTTACTATCCCGCACCGAGCCTTTTTCATGCCAGGATGGACTCAGACCGGAATTTATTCGGGTGGCACCCCCACTTCTTCCTTGCCCCCAAGGGAACGGGATACCTCGGATTTTGACCAAAGACGATGAAGCTGAGGACTCTTGTTCGTCAGCTGACAATCGGACGGTTGAGAAACGACAAACTAATGTTTTCTCGGGTTGGCATGAAGAATTAATTTGGCTCAATCCCCCCACAATTGTCCATGACTTTCATTGGGATGTTGACGATGAACAAGCCGCCCCAATCACCGAGGTATTGTTTTTTTTCACTTTACATTTCTTGTGAGGACTATTTCTAGGCATGTGAACCTTGAAATGTTGCTTTGCAATTATACCTATCTGGGCTCGGGCAACCTGGTGGTATTTTCTTCGCGTGCAGTTCACGTATTCTGTTTCATTTACTGTCGACCAATTGTGTGTGTAATTTGACCAATATTCGTGTTGAAATCCGTTGCAGCAATCCACGAGTAACTTTGTTTCGGATTTGTCACGTGTTATCTGCTCAGGTGGGAATCCTATCTGATACATGTTCCGATCCATACGAATGATAGCCTACTGCTTCCAAATATTAGCTATCCCGATTTCCGCAGTGCTAGTTTTCATTGATCATCCCACCTGATTTGCTTCAGTTGGTAATAATTTTCATTTGTTATTTTTGTTGGCTCAGCTACGAACTCTTCTCAACAAGGCTATGAACTCTACACTACAACAGTCAGACCAGCAGACTATTGTCCAGATGATTTCCGAAAACCCTAACCTTGTGCACAGTTTGGGTATTAACGTAGAGAACGTGAGTCGATTTTCTTACAGAATTCATCTTGACAATTCATATCGTTTGTTGTATACGCCTGTGTGTGCTTTTTCTCACAGCTCCCCAATTTGGTCAATCGTAATCCAGTGATCGCCATTGAAATTTTGGCTGTTTTGGTCGATTCACCCAAGGCAGAAGAGTACGTTTTTATCACAATAATTTCGACCATACTACACATGTTTTCACGTTTCTTTTGTTCCTGTCACTCCAGTTTTTCTGTTCCTCTTTCATGCTCAGTAGGAAGATGGGGTTGAGCCTTTCTGGTCAGTTTACGATTGCGTGACGTGAGATTGTTCAGAGCAATCCTTTCGGATCACTGGTTCCCAACCACTTGTCTTCAATTTCCTATAATTAATTCCCCTCGAGAGTTAACGCAGAGAGAATGAGGTAGGTTTTCATTATAGACTGCATCTATAAAGACACTCGCTGCCCATAACGAAGAGTGGAATTGGACCGTACCGCAGACACGGAGTGTTACCGGAGAGAATACGCGAGACAGTGTTCTATAACGCACGTAAATATAGAATGTAAAAGAAATATGGTCAACAAAAGACGGCTTAGAAGGTTGGACAATATCAAATGGACGAGGTTGAAGAGCACGATGGCAAACGGTATTGTGAGCGGGCTTATGAAGTGGAGGGTATCATCACCACAGCTGGAGTGTGTGTGGTGGACCGATGGCAGGTTGGCACTAGGTTCGACGCGTAACGAACAAGGAGGCCTGAACTCACGCAATGTGAGTATGCTGTCACGGTGCACGTGCAAATGAGACTGTCACCGTTATGCCCCAGAACCGCATAAATTCCAAACCATGGAAAATAACAGCAGTCATCTATTTAATTCTTGCGGTAGAGGTTTATTCACGTATTCTTGGATGCGTGAAGGATTTTCGGAAAAGGCACAATAAATGCATGTTTAATAGCCAAACTGCATCATTCTGCTGTTCTAATTCGACAAGCGATAGGTTGACGCGAATGAAAGAATGGCACATATCGCCCTATCTATCCCACAGCTGGATGATAACCACTAGTTGACGTAACAGAGTTCGGTAGACTAATCTCTTGCTAACAGAGTTATTTGCCATTCTGGCATCCTCCTTAAGTAACTGACTCAGTTCAATCATTCTTCAAAAGAAGTTAAGCTTTTCGGGGAAATATGAGCCAGACTTCACAGCAGCCATTCCGATGTTTCAGAACTGGTGGAATCCCACTGGTCTGTCCCCAGTTAGCACAAAATGGTTGCGTGGCAGTGAAGATACCTATTTAACATTAGGAGCATTGTGCAGTCATTTTTTGCCACAGACTAAGTCTTTACTATCATCTCCAAAGGCTTGTAGCAAGGGACGAATCTGCCAATTCGCAATACTTTTAGTGTATGTGTGTGAAGTGTCATCTTTCTCTCCTAGTCTCAGGCGCAACAGTGTGCCGAAAAGTGGCACTACTAAAACTAATTCCTGTCACTTCTGCCCGTAAGACGCTTCAGCACTCAACTTGATAGTATCGTTTTAGGCGTACAAAGTTTATGCACCATCGGATACAGAGTTTTAAACTTCACAGACCAGATGGCAGTTGTAGTTGAAATCAGTGGGAATCTGACTTTCCGATCGAAGTTCGACAAACTAGTAATCCATTTTCACAAAACTGTCCAACGATCCCCGTTTTAGAGGGGTATGGTAAACAGTCGGTGGATTTATTGCTGGGCAACGTTTCGCTTTTGACACCAGTGAGTAAGTAACCCGGTTGATCGGTCTTAGGGCAGTCAGGGAACCAATCCGTGAGATTTCTTATGATTAGTCGACTTGATCAGTGCTGGGTGTCTGTCTGAAATTCCTGTTTGTTGGTTCGTGGAGTGACATTTTCAATGGGTTAATTAGGGGGAATTGTCTTCATGTTGAAACCGGATTCTGTGGCCTTACTTTTTCAGTCTAGGACTCCTTAATGGAATATTCCTCTTAGAGGTCGTTCACAAATTTCGTTCGCTTGTGTTCGTCGAGGGGTGCCGGGACAACTAGTTTGGGGTTGGGTGTGTGTGGCTAATTGGATCTTAGTCCGCTTGGATTTTGTACTTTTAGACCCAGAGTATTTTGCTGATGATTGCACATCGCATCCGGCCATCTCGGTCGATCTAAAACCACTGTCTACACACTTGTCAGTTCTAGGCTCTTTATTCTATTCACGCTGGGATGCTGAGTGGTTTCCACCGCCTCGGCCACCAGTCGCTGTGGTATGAATCTTAATCCCCGTTTCAGAATATCCACATTTTCGAAATCCGTCCTGTGCCCAGTGTCTAGTGCATGCCCTGCCATTGCCGAATCTCTGACTATCGCCTGATATTCATCTACCTTTCTCGGTGGTCTGTAAGTGCATCGCTTACGCTCACCGATTTTGGTATGCAGTTCCCTGACCTCTATAAGCCCTCATACAGCCGTTACAATTTATTTTGTACACACAGTTCCTAGTCCTATCAACCGGAAGACGATCCTTCAACTGTACGAACACTGAATGTGAAGTATTTCCCTTCTGGAATGCTACTCTAATGTTAGCCATATTCAGTACCCATCTAATGGCCTCAGATGTTCCTGTTTTACATGGAGCGACTACTGTTCCGATCCACTTCTTGTTGGGACCAATACCCGTCCTAGTTGCCGCTTAATTAAATCCAATAAGTATACGCTATCTTGAAGTCGATTTTTTACTTCATTTTATGCTGCTCTTCGGTGGACCCCCTCTGCGCACAGTGCTCTTGTTCTCCTAAACGTCGTTGAAACTGTACTAGCATATACTGCTTTTGGGTGTGCTGAGGAGTGGTTTAAGACCGCACCATTATCTGTTGGTTTCCGGTCAACGGTAGTTTTCAATTCCCCACTACTTTTGTATGTCATGCAGTCAAGGAAGGGTGGTGTACCCGATGTGGGCTCTAGCTCCATACTGAACGTAATGCTACATAACGCCAGAAAACCATCGGCGGACACTTGAGTCCGCCTAAAGCTTTCTTTCCAAAGTCTTCCATGTACATGTTGGCCCAGATCAAGGATTTCGGGGATCCACTCGCTGGACCATGTTCCTGAGAGTATATGATTGAGTCAAAAACAAAATGACAGGTTTGGAGATACTTTTATGCCTTCAACTGTATCGTCTACGGAGAGTTGCGTTTTCTCTTGCAGCGTTGTATCCCCCAGTACATCCTTCTCGCTACTTCCAGAGCCTCGACTTTTGGTATACATGGAGTTGGCGTCAAAGATAACAAGAACTTCTTCTAGCTCTAACTTAAGCCCAGCTATTTTTTAACAGTCATACGAATTTAGGATGTGTGTAGATGACTTGCCGGCAAGTTGTTTTAGGATACCCACCAGAAATCTGGCCAGCTCGTGTGGTGGTGAACCTGTGCCATCTAGAGATTCAGCAAGAATTCACTTAAATCTCTCAGAACCAAATCAATACGCAGATGACTGTATTCCGCTAATTGTATCCAATTCGGGATCAAGTAGAACACAAGGTTGACGGAAACTCGGGGACTGCCCCCATCCGATGAGCTCCATTGAGGCCCCCGTTAACATCAGCTTAATTTTCAACTTAGCATTTGACCGGAGTTTCTCTTGGCTATCCTCTGATGTTTTGGTATTTTAGTCGAATAGATGTTGTACTCAAGCAATAATTTACGGCGGTTTCGTCAGCCAGATCAACATTTCCTCAGCTCCCAAGGTGGTTTTGAACAACGTGTACACTTCAGAGACACTAACACAGTCGCAACAGATCAACACGTGAACACGATTGTCATCATCCGTCGTGTTTGTATTCCACGGACGGTGTAACTGGTTAGCATGATGGCACTATAGAAAACTGGCAAATTTTGACAGCGGGAAGGTATAGCGAATTGCGTAAGGTTGCGAGTTGAGCTTATATAGTTCTTCTGACACTGCGAAAGTAACTCGAAAGCCTGCACAATTCTGGCGCGGATGTAAGCTACTGCTAAACGAGGCTTTCACAGCTGATTCGAGTCAATTATCTCTTATCTAGCCTGATTGAAAAAAAACCCTGAAATTCTCTGTAAAATTATACGTACGACTGGATACTTCTCACTCGATGCTAGGAGGCGAGTTGACTCAAGTGGTTAGAGCGCGAATTCACTGACTGGAAGGTCCGTGGTTCGAACCCGACCTCTGCCGCTCGACTTCTTCTGTCTAGGCTTGGACAACCTGACAGTATCCCAGCCCTCGTGCTTCCTTCGTGTGGCATGGCAGCTGGGCACTGAAAGGGTGCTAGAGCTAAACGATTGTTATTGTTTGCTGATGCTAAGATTTGTTGCGATCAGCACCGGCCGCAGTTAGTCGTATTAAGGTGGTATTAAGGTGGCCCAGTTTGTGGAGCTGATTATTCCTCCGTCTGGTGTCGGAGTCGGAGCTATGTCATGGTTAGTGATTGGACACACATAACACTATTACAGACATTATACCTGTACCCAGGAAACCAATTTCAGTCGATTAGTGCGCGCGAAACGAGCAACTGAACACCACAAACCAATTACTAGGTCTCTGATGAGTATAAGCAGACATTGGAAGAGAGCCAGCCCTGATTCATTTGAGTATCCCGTTAGCACCAGCTTAATTTACAACTGCATGTATTTAGACATGGTCATACTTGCCATTCTCTACAGCGGATAAACAGGATATCTAGCTAGGGCAACGCACTACAAGATATGGCTGCCAACCGATGTCAGTGGCGTTCTTGTTGTCAGTTTCTGTCCAGATTGCGTGAATGAATGTCTGGAGGTGTAGGCACCTCGGAATGATTGTGTTAAGCTAGCACTAAGTCCCCCCCAGTTTGTGGAGCTGATTATTCCTCCGTCTGGTGTCGGAGTCGGAGCTATGTCATGGTTAGTGATTGGACACACATAACACTATTACAGACATTATACCTGTACCCAGGAAACCAATTTCAGTCGATTAGTGCGCGCGAAACGAGCAACTGAACACCACAAACCAATTACTAGGTCTCTGATGAGTATAAGCAGACATTGGAAGAGAGCCAGCCCTGATTCATTTGAGTATCCCGTTAGCACCAGCTTAATTTACAACTGCATGTATTTAGACATGGTCATACTTGCCATTCTCTACAGCGGATAAATAAACAGAATAGCTAGGGCAACGCAGTCTCAGTTTGAGCGGGCCACTGCCGGGACTTATCTTGTATTCAGTTTTCTACGAAGCTTATTTCTTATTCGAATACCCATTCTAACATGTCGTGATGAGCATTCATTTGCAAATTGGTTGACGGGAGATTCAGTCGAAATTTACCTGAATCACTGGTTTATGATATTCTCTAACTAAAGATGCTTCACACATCATCCAGAGCTGGTTTGTTCCGTCTCATGAGCATATATTGACCAACTTACATTCTTGGTTGACACCCAATTAAGTTCGCATGGAGTATACTGGCGCAGAGTAATAACATAAAACCAGAGTTCATAGCCACTGCAGTAGGAATGGTTAAGCGCCGGTCAAAATTAACAGTTCAACGAAGTGACTCACAGAGGTTTTGAGCCAAATAGCCAAAAGATACCATCGGAATCTTGTGACGAAGCTACCCCATGTAATGGTCCTCTAATCTCTTCTCGCCCATTTTTCACTTTGATAGTTTTACGATAGTTGGTCGAAACAATATTCTGGAAATTCTCGAAATCGGTTCCTGGTAGGATTTTCCACATATCCATCGGTGGTGAAGCCATGGCGAAAAACATTGGTGATCTCATTACTCGTCAAAACTTTTCCTCGAACTTTACAACACCTTTCAATAAGTCCACCAACTGTGGTATTACTGTACCCTTTCCTTAGCTATTCTGCAGTCACTTGATCATGTGAATTGAAATTCTGTTCCACAAAATACAAATCGATAACTAGCCGTAGGTTGAGTGACGTTGTGTCCCCATTTTATTAGAACAAGCACAAAGCGTACGCTGTGATGTGTTAGGACTTATTTCAGTATCAAGCATAATATATGTAGATCGGATACCATAAACAATTGAAACTCAATTCCTACAAATCCCGCAACAACCTACAACGGATTAAAAAAGTGCCCATCAAGTTCCAAACATCCCTGATGTCAGTTGACTGGGAAGCCTTAACAGGTAGGTTAGTCGATCGACCTACTTGATCGTCATTAGAGGCATTGGGCAAAACAGCCAAAGTGTTCAGGTGTGTACATGTTTTACCGTTCTGGCATGATAATTCTGATACTTTGATGAATTTATGGTACCACAACTGCTTCCCATATACCAAGGATGTTCTCTGCTGATCAGCTGTAGTTGGAGCGAAACTCTGGTTCCTCTTTGATATGGACCATAACCAGCATAGCTGCGCCGGGATATGACAGGAACTGTCCAAACGAGTGTTGTGGATGCAAATAGGGAAATTTCTCAACGAAAACTTATTGGTTGATTTCTAGAAATCGCCATTTGCCTGGATTCAAGAGCTTTTGTGCATACAAATGAGATTGATTTAGTTAGAACAGTAGTGACTACATTACCGGACACCGTTGCGTAGTTCAAAGCTTAGTTGTTGGATTTGGCTACCTATCAAACAATCCTACCTACTCAGCAAAGAACATCCACAAAGCTGAAAGGTCTGTAAGGGAATGACCTACTCCTGACTCTTCTACCTGAAAAAGGCTCAATTACGGTCCTCATCTGCCATGTGGATTTTTTTGGAAATATATATCCATTGTTGTCCGGCAGATCAAAATTCACTCTAGGTAGCACACACCCTGATGATATTCGGTTGACCGAACAGGCTGTTGCGCACCCATCGAAAGACTGATGCAAGCAGGGCATCATTAATAAACCTCAAGACGTTCCGTCACACTGCCGATGTACGACCTACCCAAGGTCTATAAACGCTTCTGCCCCTTCGTCGTATCCTACACATATGCTACCTGATAACAATGGCCTTGTCAGAAGGACTCATAAAGCCACTCCACTTGCTTCAGATCTGCACTGGGTTTTGTCGAGAAATGTGGCTCATTCGTACAATCAGCTGAAATGTTCTTTCCAAGTGACCATTTCCCCAAATAGGACCATAGCGAGCCGTTCCCCGTGACTGATCTTTGCCCGGAAGATTTGTCTATATCGGATAATGTGTTTATACTAGTTGAGCATGTTTTCCTTAGCATTCACAACAGTTAGATTAGTATAACCCCAATTCTCTGGCTGGATATCGATCTCGTGCGATTTTATGCGACACCTTCATCTCACATTGTTGTATGGAGAACAGTACCAAATGCAGTCCACAAGCAATGAAAATACATTTTTCCTTGCTGCTCTAACTTTCCTTTCTTGTCTGAATTGCAGATTTTATGACGCTCTCGTGTCCATGGAGGTCACTGTAGATTCTTTGGAGGTGGTCAATCGATTGGCCACACGCGTGTCATTACCGAAAGAATTTATCCAGAGCTACATATCTCGATGCATGACCTATTGCCAGTCGCTGCAGGACAAATCCACCCAACAACGAAATGTGCGCATTGTTTGTGTCCTCATTCAGTCTTTCATTCGTAATAAAATCCTAGATATACACAATGAGGTGAGTGGGTTACCCTGACATTTATCATATCGCTGTTTTTGAATGAGCCACGTGAGCACCGACCCCGGTCAACTAAGGCTCTAATTTCGATGCTTCATTTACAGATTAGTTGCATTCCGAAGTATTCCCCGATTTTCGTTGACATGTCACATTGGTCTCGACAAAACCGCATGAGCATGTGTTAGCAACAAACTATAGCCACCGAATTCCCATAAAGCATAGTGCTTTTAACGTTTATACTTCCTGTGGAAAGTTGTCTAGTTTGAGTCAGATTTGTTCTCTGTGAGAACAGCTTTTGTCCAGATGGAGGCATATACCAGCTTACCAGTTCCAGCCTGAAGGAGACCCTTCTCAGCTTGGTCGGATTTTCGTTAGTTCAGCTTAAAATTGGACTTCAATTGTTGTGCGTTGTTATTTCACTGATCTTTCATCTACCAGCCGGCCGTACATGAATTCAGGCTAATTTGTTCTCCGATTTAGTTAAAGAGCAGATCCGTCCAATCTGACGTTGGGTATAGTGTAGGTTGAAAACTAAATTTCTATGCGTCTATTTTAAAACCTATTTGAACACATGAAAGTTATTTAATGCTTCATCCATCTTGTGATTTAACAGGTATCTGGATTTCGTTATTCTAACAACTTGTCATTAAACGTTTTTTCCTCCTTGTTTTTTTCGTAGAATATCCTGATCGAAGTACAGCGGTTTTGTGTTGAATTCAATAAAGTCCCCGGGGCTAATCCTTTGTATCGAACAATCAAAAATATGGAATCTAGTACAAGCGGGACATCCCAATCATCAACTTCTGGGAACCCGACGGATTCCCCTGGAAAATGACTGTTTAGTTTGTTCAATTGTCTTTATCTGACTACATTTTGCAGACGTTTATTTCTACGTCTTTTATTTCCAAAACAACCGTACTAGAGTTTCTAAAACGGGGATCGACAGTTAGTGGGACCACCAAGTTGTTCAAATGGGCGAGATGGCCCAAACGGTTAGAGCGCCGTGGTTCGAACCCCACCTCTGCCTCTCGACTGCCCCTGTCTAGGCTTGAGCAACCTGGCAGTATCCCAGCCCTCGTGCAACTTTCGGGTGGCGTGGCAATAGTGTATCGAAAAGGTGCTACAGCTGAACGAGGTTATCCAACTCCAAAAGTAAATCTTTGATTACTGGACAATCTTAGTCCACAATATTCTCATGGTTGTAAGCTGTAACCACAAGTGTTTGACGCTTTGATGACTAAAAGTCCATTCTGTGATGGTAGCAGTGGTGATCGCGCAAATGAACCCGCCAGCAGCACTTAGTTTCACGGGGTTTAACGACGCCGGGAAGACCAAAGATAGCAGCCAGACAAAGAGAATCAAGTAAACTGTTCAGAAAGAAAACGGCATCTTGTCTCTTCAGCATGGGTTGACTTCGCCTGCAGAGTAAAACCTCTATTAAACAAGGGCATCAAGTCCTCGTACTACGAGCAGTCATATTACGAAGTAGTCTTAATGCCCTCTGTGGTAAGAGTTGCTCTTCTGGGCAACTTGCAAGGTTATGGAAACAGCGGTGCTAAGGAAGGACGGAGTAGAGGGATTCGGCCGTGAAGTCGACATACCTCAATCACCAAACGATTGACTTTGATAATCATATAATCGCGCTCTACGGTCGACAGTATGGCATCCGTGTTCACTGCCTCGCAACAATAGACGATGCGGTCTAAAAACAACCATAACCCGATGAGACTTTGAACACATCTGCCATGCGCAGCGACTTCAGTGGTGCTACGTATAAACCCTGCTGTATGCGCTCACAGGCTAGACCAATTAGCATCACCAGGACTTTCCGTGTATCTGTAATCCACTTTATCTGGCTCGGAAACAAATACTAACGGCAATCCCTTGTATAGTCAGCCGGGTTCGTTCGAGGTATTCATCGTTCGCCCTCAAAATGTACATATCAATGAGAATCGCTTATCGACTCATTGGTGTTGTTCGGTTGAGTAAACCAAGTGAGGTGTAATCATATCCAAAAATGCGAGGCAATTAAAGAGTTTAATTCGTATTTTAGTGCGGTGGCTTTAGACAACGGAACGATTGCGCCATTTGTGGCTGGTGGGATGTTTATCTATCGTTAGTTCAGGTGGATTCGTCGGTTGTTGATCAGGTGGCAGTTGGTCGGCAGCCAATAAATCAGTTGAGTGTTCTGTGTGCTAAAGGGTCGTTCTTATTCAGAACCATTTGACTGATCGACAAAATACTGCTCAGCTATAATAGATACCTTACACGATGTCAGTTCGCCTGGAACTTGTGCGGAGCCTGCAGTACCGCGAAGTTTTTGGCTGGTATGGTTCATAAGCCATACTCTCAGCGGCTAGCGTTCAGCGATGTGGGAATGATTTCGCATTGGAAGTCAGTTTAATTTGGCGTTCATTTCGGGGAATAAGGAGGGGTCAATTGTTCTGATGCCCTTAACGCAACGAGCCACAACCCTCGTAGTTTGCATTCTCGACACCATACAATTGTTGAAATTCAGGTGTGTCTGGCATCCTGAGCACGAACTGTTTGGAACGAAAACAATACCGGCGAGATGAACCTCTTCGAAATTGGCACATGAACATGCGAGATTCGTCCTTGCCCGGTTGCTCTCTGGAACTTTCTCGCATAAACTGACTTGTATCTAACTTAACATAATGATTTCTCCCGTTCGTTTGCTAACTCCACTCATGTAAGCTAATCCCCACTTGCTTTGCTTATCGGAACCCGCCGTTCACCCTGCCGCACTGGCCGCTGTATCCGACACAAGGTATAGAAGCACATTCATGTGTGGCAGTGTGCACACCTGGCCTACTTACCCTTTCATGTTCGTGCCCCGCTTGTTGGGTCTGCCCTGATTTGCTCTGTCGTGCTTTCCGTGTGATCGCCCGGTCAATCAGAACCACAAGACCGATCTTGGAAGGGACGACCACATTACCAAGCCAACAATCCGCTCATCGTTGTCTGGTGTGCGAACCTTGACACTGCACTGTGCCGGTCAGTGGGACTCGCGCACTTCAGGATGCCATGGAAGTGGGCGGTTGAGTTCTGTTGTATAGTTTTGCTCACTATTTTGTGAATGATACCGTAGACTTTCGAACCAAATTATTCATTTTGATATTAGGGATCGTCAAACCTACGTGGGACTGTCTCGTATCGGGAATTTGTTGTATCCTCTTTGTGAATTTATCAGTCAGACTCGTTATTTCACAGGACTGGATAAGACAAACAACTTTTAGGAAGTTATACCGCAGACAATCGGATCGTTCCGTGATATGGGACTCAACCGAACCAGAATATAAAAAGAGCTAACAGTCCAATAGGATGTCAGTGAGAGGCTGGAATGTAGAAACGAGGTTTCAGTATACAAGACAAATAGCAAAGTGGGTTTGTTCGTTTGGAAGTACTCCTCCTAAGAGAACCCAACACCTGACTTAGTACCGGGAGAGACGAATTACTGAGGACTGGGCTGAGTTGACCCGGATCGAGAATGCTTTGGTCCAACGTTCAATTTGAGAATCATTGTGCAGTGTCACTGTTTCAAACAACAGCTGCCGCGAAATGCACCTGGGAAGTTGGTCTCCACGGTAGACTCGGTCACACAAAGGCTGCCTCGAGTTTCAGCTGGCAAGATATTTGATTTACCTAATTATACTCTGGAAATAACACCAATTGTATGGTATATATGGCCCACTGGGACTCATCAGGTACACGTAGTTTTCATTAGCACCAGTGAGCGTGTCGCCAATTTCGAACACCTTGTTCGAGTAGAACATTAGGTCGATGGAAATTCAAGGACTACGCCCATTCGATGAGCCCAAAGAAGGGCGCATCGGCGATGGGCTGTCGAGGAGTTCTCAGCAACATTGTGGGTAGTGCTTTGCCAAGAAAAAAGACGAGTCGTTTCTTGATATGCAGACTACTTCTAGCTCTGTCAGTCAGCACAAAAGTTGACGATTTGTCACGATCGAAGGTCCCTATTTCGGTGCTACACACCAGCTCCCGTAGGCGCGCGGGGATGCACGGAAAAAAATCCTGAGGTTACCACGTCAAACTGACGTAAAACAATGATTTCCTTCCTAAATATCTCTTCAACTCTGTTGCTGATACGTTTCCAGGAAATTCTATCTGGCTAACCTCTCGAGGTTCGAAATATTTCCCCGGACGTCCATTCCTACGTTGAGTATACGGGCGATATTGCTCCCTCGGAGTCAAATTCTCTGGATAAATGGGCCGTTTCGAACAGCCCAGATTACTCTATCACATGATTTGGCATGCCCTCCGTGACCGAATATGACTGAAGCCGGGCCTTATTATCGCAAGATGAGAATTGTTTAAGCCCTGGAGGACTTCTCTCTAATTGGAAGGGGCAGGACAGGATTTGTTAACCGTCCTCGCCTATGCATCGGTATCAGGGCAAAGTATGCAGTTTGGCTGCGATTCTACTGGTTCATATTTGACGCGGGTGGCTTCTGTGTGCAGAAGGTATACAGGTCTGGTGGGAAAATGCGAGCAGCGACGATGAGGAAGGAAGTAACACGAGAAAACACACAGTCGTGTCCCACAGGCCATGGTTTTGCAACAAAGCATGAAACTGTGACATCAAATCGGTTGATCACTACCGCCCCTCAATGGATGAGAACCCATAGCTGAACAGCTGCGATCTTGTTATCACTTTCATTGCATGGCCAAGCGAATTTCCACTTCCTCAATCAACCAAAAGGATGAACCCTCAAGTAACCGGTTAGGCCATCGTCAGACTATTCGTTCTATGTTGTTCCTTTTTTCAGTGGAAGAAACTACATTGATTAGAACCCATGTACCCTTGGTAATTAGTTTATAGCTTAGCAACTGAAATTAGCTGAAGTAAATATGATGTCGATAACCGCCACGAACCATAGACATGCTCCAAACAAGTTGTCTGCTTACTCATTGGTTTCTCAAAGGCGATTTACATTACTACAGTCCGAAATGATGAAAAACTGGTTTGCAATGGGTTCACTGTTGTCATGTGTGCTGTGACAAGACTGATTCGCCTACCTTGGTGATGACAATAGGATCATCAGAATCGGTTCAAACGAGAACATTGGTATGCATCAACTTCAGTAGACAAGAATGTTTTTCGCGAGCCTCCCTTTAAAAGCCGCTGTTATGTGTGTTCTGAGTGAAAACGCACTAGAGATTGCTGCCATACGTCCTGCGGTATACAGTGCCGTCGTAGCCACCACGTATGCACATATGTCGGATATGAAAATCGGTCAGAGTACAACACAATGCGAAAGGTTTTTGAGAATTAGAAACCCATCACCCGTTTTTAGCAAAACTGATCGAGCGGCATAAGCCCATCCTCTGAACTGACGGCTTCACTCAACCAGTGAGTGCTTGCACCGACCGTTTGATAGGCATCTCAATCCATTGTGGCTTGTCCTTTGATTGAGCATGCGTTAGTTGTGGACTTTCCGTGCCTACCACGCAATATTTATGTATTCCCGTCACTGTGTGCAGCTGTGGTTTGTACATCTGACTCTATGAGTAAAAGTATATCCAGATGAATCCTGGGCGATTTATATACCCACAACTTAAGGGTAAACCAGTTGCCAAGTACCCTCGGTACCGTGCACGCTCAACAACATGGAAACTCTAACCCATCTAGTTCACGTGAATGGAAGGCGAAAAAGACCCACTTCACAAATCGACGATATACCTGCTGATGTGATTCTTCCCTTGGAACCTTTGGTACTAGACATATGCATTCACACCACAAGTACAATCGATGCGATCAACCTTGTCACTTACTGGTTTATGTGAAGTGAATCTCAACAACGACCCGCTACAGGTATCTGAACCACACGTTCGCATTAGTTTG